AACAGCTGCTAACCAGCCTGCTAACAGCTGCTAACTAGCCTGCTAACAGCTGCTAACCAGCTTGCTAACAGCAGCTAACCAGCTAGCTAACAGCTGCTAACCAGCCTGCTAACAGCAGCTAACCAGACAGCTAACAGCTGCTAAGGAACTAGCTAAGAGATACCAACCAGCTAACTAACAGCAGCCAACCAGCTAGCTAACAACTGCTAACCAGCCTGCTAACAGCAGCTAACTAGCAGCTAACAGCTGCTAACAAACTAACTAAGAGATACAAAACCAGCTAGCTAACAACTGCTAACCAGCCTGCTAACAGCTGCTAACTAGCCTGCTAACAGCTGCTAACCAGCTTGCTAACAGCAGCTAACCAGCTAGCTAACAGCTGCTAACCAGCCTGCTAACAGCAGCTAACCAGACAGCTAACAGCTGCTAAGGAACTAGCTAAGAGATACCAACCAGCTAGCTAACAGCAGCCAACCAGCTAGCTAACAACTGCTAACCAGCCTGCTAACAGCAGCTAACTAGCCAGCTAACAGCTGCTAAAAAACTAGCTAAGAGATACCAACCAGGTAGCTGATAGCTGCTAACCAGTCTGCTAACAGCAGGTAACTAGCAGCTAACAGCTGCTAACAAACTAACTAAGAGATACAAACCAGCTAGCTAACAGCTGCTAACTAGCCTGCTAACAGCTGCTAACCAGCTTGCTAACAGCAGCTAACCAGCTAGCTAACAGCTGCTAACCAGCCTGCTAACAGCAGCTAACCAGACAGCTAACAGCTGCTAAAGAACTAGCTAAGAGATACCAACCAGCTAGCTAACAGCAGCCAACCAGCTAGCTAACAACTGCTAACCAGCCTGCTAACAGCAGCTAACTAGCAGCTAACAGCTGCTAACAAACTAACTAAGAGATACAAAACCAGCTAGCTAACAGCTGCTAACCAGCCTGCTAACAGCTGCTAACTAGCCTGCTAACAGCTGCTAACCAGCTTGCTAACAGCAGCTAACCAGCTAGCTAACAGCTACTAACCAGCCTGCTAACAGCAGCTAACCAGACAGCTAACAGCTGCTAATGAACTGGCTAAGAGATACAACCAGCTAGCTAACAGCAGCTAACCAGCTAGCTAACAGCTGCTAACCAGCCTGCTAACAGCAGCTAACTAGCCAGCTAACAGCTGCTAACAAACTAGCTAAGAGATACCAACCAGGTAGCTGATAGCTGCTAACCAGTCTGCTAACAGCAGGTAACTAGCAGCTAACAGCTGCTAACAAACTAACTAAGAGATACAAACCAGCTAGCTAACAGCTGCTAACTAGCCTGCTAACAGCTGCTAACCAGCTAGCTCTCCTCTCATCAACCGACTATTTTAAAAACCTACAATGCAGCAATAGAGTTGATTATCTCACGCTATCATTGCAACCCCAACCTCTTTACAGGGAGAACTATTCAGCCAGGCTAACAATCACCTTTAACAACCCCCCTTTCAGAGATATAGAGAGGTTATGGATGATTGCAGGCTAACAAAGAACCCAAACGACCCCCATTCAGAAGGGGTGGACCCGTTCATCCATTTCAGTTTGTCTAAACAAAACAACAATTTGTTGGGCTACTGTATAAAACCTGAAACTTAAGGTATTGGTGGACATTTAGCGGACCATGAACCAGGCAGAAATTAAAGATTTCCGGCATGCTCGTGTAAAGAATGTGGATGCCAGAAGAGGGCGCTGTGTGCTGTATAAAAAGCATTATGGCGCTCGATAATCACAGAGGTTTGCATTTCCTGGACTCATTCTTAACATCTCACTAGGGTTTACCTATCAAAAGGCTCAATGATGGATTTTATGATATAGATAAGTATTTTCAATACCCTTATTACGTAGTTTTTGGGCTAGCCGGATTGTATTATTATGTTCTCGCATTCAAAGGACGGATCGTGCTTCTGGGATGGATCGGGTAGTGACAGTGCTTACAAGCAGCATTCAGATTCATGCCTGCCAGCTAGAACGTATTCTGTGTGGCTGCAAAGTGTACTACTGCCATCTACAGTACTGGAGGATCATGTCTCACTCAGAGACTCTAACCAGAATTATAAATAATTATTTTCCAGGCCTGGTCTTCTCCAATCGATCACCCCGAATGGATTCTCCCACTCGTTGTCAGGGGAACACCTCCTCTCCACTAGGAAATACGATGACGACATGGAAACAAATGTTAAGCTGTCAACCTGGACCTGCTTCCCATTGCACTGGCAACAAATCGTTGTTTCCATGGTGACACTGCGTGCCAAAGCCAAGAGCTTCTGACTGGGGCGCCATCTGTCCAGACAGCATGGGGGGTGGGGGGTGATCAGTTATAATGATAGGTGTTTTACAGCAGAAAGACCTATCTGCTCTAAATATATATATATATATATATATATATATATATATATATATATATATATATATATATATACCATTGATTCTAATAGTGATCTGTTCTAATAGTGATCTGTTGTAATAGGGATTAGTTCTAATGGTGATCAGTTCTAATAGTGACCGGTTGCAAGAGTGATCGGTTGTTATATTGATCAGTTCTAATTGTGATCAGTTGTTATAGTGATCAGTTGTAATAGTGACAAGTTGTAATGGTGATCAGTTCTAATGGTGATAAGTTGTAATAGTGACCTGTTCTAATATTGATGAGTTCATATAGGGATCTGTTGTAATATTGATCAGTTCTAATGGTGCTAAGATCACTATTACTATTGTAATAGTGATCAATTCTAATACTGATCGGTTTTAATATTGATTAGTTGTAATATTTATCAGTTTTGATAGTGATCTCTTCCACTATGGTTCTAATTGTGATCAGTTGTAATATTGATCAGTTCTAATAGTCATCGGTTGTGATAGTGATCAGTTGTGATATTGATAAGTTCTAATAGTGATCAGTTGTAATAGTGATTGGTTGTAATATTGATCAGTTGTAATGGTGATGAGTTCTAATAGTGATCTGTTCTAATGTTGATCAGTTGTAAAAGTTATCAGTTTTCACGGTGATCAGTTCTAATGATAGGTTCTAATGGTGATCAGTTGTAATATTGATGAGTTCTAATAGTGATTGGTTGTAATATTGATCAATGTTAATATTAATCAGTTGTAATAGTGATCAGTTTTAATGGGGATCAGTCGTAATAGTGATCAGTTGTAATGATGATCAGTTATAATAGTTATTGGTTCTAATAGTGATCAGTGCTAATTGTGATCAGTTCTAATATTGATCAGTTGTAATAGTGATCGGTTCTATAGGTTATCAGTTCTAAGGGGGATCAATTGTCATAGTAATGAGTTGTAATAGTGATCAGTTGTAATAGTGATCGGTTGTAATAGTAATCAGTTGTAATGATGATCAGTTATAATGGTGATCAGTTATAATAGCTATTGGTTCTAATAGTGATCAGTGCTAATATTGATCAGTTCTAATATTGATTGGTTGTAATAGTGATCGGTTTTAATGGTTATCAGTTCTAATATAGATCGGTTATAATATTGATCAGTTTTAATAGTGATCAGTTCTAATATGGATCGGTTCTAATAGTAATCAGTTCTTATAGTGATCAGTTTTAATCATGATAAGTTGTAATATTGATCAGTTGGGATATTGATCTGTTGTAATAGTGATCGGTTCTATAGGTTATCAGTTCTAAGGGGGATCAATTGTCATAGTAATGAGTTGTAATAGTGATCAGTTGTAATATTGATTAGTTCTACTATGGATCTGTTATATATTGATCAGTTGTCATAGTGATCAGTTGTAATAGTGATCGGTAGTAATAGTAATCAGTTGTAATGATGATCAGTTATAATGGTGATCAGTTATAATAGCTATTGGTTCTAATAGTGATCAGTGCTAATTTTGATCAGTTCTAATATTGATCAGTTGTAATAGTGATCAGGGCTAATATTGATCAGTTCTAATATTGATCGGTTGTAATAGTGATCGGTTTTAATGGTTATCAGTTCTAATATAGATCGGTTATAATATTGATCAGTTTTAATAGTGATCATTTCTAATATGGATTGGTTCTAATAGTAATCAGTTCTTATAGAGATCAGTTTTAATCATGATGAGGTATAATATTGATCAGTTTTAATAGTGATCATTTCTAATATGGATTGGTTCTAATAGTAATCAGTTCTTATAGAGATCAGTTTTAATCATGATGAGGTATAATATTGATCAGTTGTGATAGTGATCAGTTGTGATAGTGATCAGTTATAATATTGATCAGTTATAATATTGATCAGTTGTGATAGTGATCAGTTGTGATAGTGATCAGCTGTGATAGTGATCAGTTGTAATATTGGCCCAGAGCCAACTGACAGTTCTTCTCTGCCCGTGTCGCTGGCGTTCCACAAACAGATGAGAGGCGTAGCCATCAGGAACCAGGGCGTTCCGGTCTCTATCCTGTATGGAATTCCAGATGGTCAGAAACAGCCTTATCAGTACATCCAGTAGTTATGAACATCAAAGAGGTTCTTTTGCAAACTGTTCATCAGTTTTATCTTTTAAAGGCAAACGTCTGTATTTACTATCAGTAACAATTGTAGGTTAGTGGAAATGGAGGTGAAACTGTACTGTAGATATAAACATATTTCTCTGAGCCAATCAGAAATGCTTCTGACAGTCGCTAACCTTACATCTAATAACCAATGAAAAACAAGTCATTATAATGTTAACCTCCTTTTAGATCTATATCATATATATTCTTTATTTTTCTCTCTTTCTTGCTGGAAACGTGTAAAGAAAGATAAAAAAACTAGAAATTAATGAAATGAGGCTATTTTCCCTCCATCTACCCCCTCCCCCTCCATCTAATCTCCCCCTCTCTCCCCCCTCCCATCCCCATCTCCTCTCCCCATCCCCCTACTATCCCCTCACCTCTCTCTCTCCCTCAGTCTCCCTCCCTCCCTCTCCCCTCTCCTCCCCCCTCCTATCCCCCTCTCCTCTCTCTCTCTCTCCCTCTCTCTCTCTCCTCCTCCTCCCTCCCCTCCTCCCTCTCTGCTGCAGACAGGGCTCCTCCAGCAGTAGAGGAGCTGAGGTACGGGGTGAATACAGCGGCTCTTAGCGGGCAGCGGATGCGTGATGAGCGGGTCAGAGGCTCTGGGCTCCACCGCCGGTACCGGCTAGAACCGGCAGGGGGAGGGGAGGGGTGGGGGGGTTGTGATTCAATGTGTGTCGCTGTCCGTCTGCATCATGCTGTACTTCCAGCTGGTGATCATGGCGGGGACCATCATGCTGGCCTACTACTTCGAGTACACAGACACCTTCAGCGTGCACGTGCAGGGCTTCTTCTGCTACGACACCTCCTACACCAAGCCCTACCTGGGCCCCGAAGACAGCAGCGCCGTCCCGCCCATCCTGCTCTACGCCCTGGTGTCTGGACTGCCCACGCTGCTGGTGAGTGCACTCCCACTCCCCCCCACTCAGCCTGAGGGTCCAGGTTCCTCCTGACCAAACCTCATTAGATAGGAGCACAGCTTAGGGACCAAGAAACCAGTAGAACCAGTGGAAAGTCTGAACTGGAAGCAGGTCCAGAAGAATCTGCTGAAACATTAACAGATGACCTGTTAATTAACAGATTAGTGGATGTTGTTGGATAGTTTGCGATCACTTCCACCATAGTGAACTTTTTGAAGAGTTTCAGTCTGGCTTTAGAGCTCATCATAGCACTGAAACAGCTCTGGTGAAAGTCACTAATGATATTCTCATGGCCTCAGATAATGGACTTGTATCTGTGCTCGTCCTGTTGGATCTTAGTGCTGCATTTGATCCAGTTGATCATAATATTCTTTTAGAAAGACTTGAATATTTTGTTGGAATTAAAGGAACAGCACTAGACTGGTTTACATCTTATCTATCTGATCGAATTCAGTTTGTTCATGTTAATGATAGATCTTCCTCATGCTCAAAGGTTACCTGTGGAGTACCACAGGGATCAGTGCTAGGACCAATTCTCTTTACTATATACACTACTCAAAAAAAAAATAAATAAAAAAAAAGGAACACTTTATAATCAGAGTAGAGTATCAAGTAAATTAAACTTGTGGGATATTGATTTGGTCAGGTCAGTAGCAGAGGGGGTTGATAATCAGTTTCAGCTGCTTTGGTGTTAATGAAATGAACAACAGGTGAACTAGAGGGGCAGCAATGAGACGACCATCAAACAGGAATGGTTTTACAGGTGGAGGCCACTGACATTTTTTTTCACCTCCTCATCTTTTCTGGCTCTTTTTCACCAGTTTTGCATTTGGCTAGGTCACTGTCACTACTGTTAGCATGAGGCGCTACCTGGACCCTACAGAGGTTGCACAGGCAGTCCATCTCCTCCAGGATGGCGCATCAATACGTGCCATTGCCAGAAGGTTTGCTGTGTCTCCCAGCACAATCTCAAGAGCATGGAGGAGATTCCAGGAGACAGGCAGTTACTCCAGGAGAGCTGGACAGGGCCGTAGAAGGTCTACAACCCATCAGCAGGACCGCTATCTGCTCCTTTGTGCAAGGAGGAGCAGGAGGAGCACTGCCAGAGCCCTACAAAATGACCTCCAGCAGGCCACTGGTGTGAATGTCTCTGACGTAACAATCAGAAACAGACTTCACCAGGGTGGCCTGAGGGCCTCACGTCCTCTAGTGGGCCCTGTGCTCACTGCCCGGCACTGGAGCTCCATTGGAATTTTCCATAGAACACCGGAATTGGCAAGTTGGCCACCGGCGCCCTGTGCTTTTCACAGATGAGAACAGGTTCACCCTGAGTGCATGTGACAGACGTGAAAGGGTCTGGAGAACGTTATGCTGCCTGTAACACCATTCAGCATGACCGGTTTGGTGGTGGGCCAGTGATGGTCTGGGGAGGCATATCCATGGAGGGACGCACAGACCTATACAGGCTAGACAACACTACCCTGACTGCCATTAGGTATCGGGATGAAATCCTTGCACCCATTGTCAGACCCTTTGCTGGTGCAGTGGGTCCCACATTGAATCCTGGTGATTCAGCAATTATGAAACATTGCTGAATGTCTGCAGAGTTAGAAGGGATGAACTGGAAGTTTGTGGCTTTTGTCAGATGCAGGGGAACAAAGGTATAGTTATGACCTGCTGATTATGGTTTCACAATCAGCATTGTTATTCTGCAGCAATAACTCATTCATGGTAAGAGCAGACGGTTTAAAAATGAATCAGATTTGTTCCTCATGGCAAAGCTGGCAGTCCTCCAAAGTCAGCTGGGCTGCAACAGACTGAAAATAACAGGAAACCGACAAAGTGTGAGAATGTAGACAAAGGAGACCATGTGTTGGAATCTGAGTATGAATGACTTTCTCTTCTGGCTGCAGGTTTGATCTGTACTAAATAGACCTGCTGTGACCCTGATGGGTTGCTTCTAATTGGGTCCAGATGTTTTGTCCAAAGAACCTTTTATTGTTTTTTTTTTTTGTTTTTCTTAAAGAATGCCCCCCTTGGAGACATCATTTGTATTGTGTCCTGTCAGGCCAGAGTAACAGGATACGGTGGAATGACCTAAAATGCGTCCACCAAGAGGACACATCAGACCATCTGGTTGACAGAGAGTGAGAAGGAGCAGCTTTATCTACAGCTGCCTTCAGTCCTGTTTGCTGCTGGTTCTCCTCACTGGTGCTGATGGACCTGTGGTCATTCTCTGATCTGCCGTTCTAGGCCAACAGGCCTTGCTATTACTGTTTAATACTCAACTTTTTCCATCATGCTTTTTAACACCTTATTTAATGAGATATGAATTCGCAATAAGCTTTGGAGCCGTCTTACCGTGGAGCCGTCTTACCGTGGAGCCGCCTTACCTCGGAGCTGTCTCACCTTGGAGCCGTCTAACCATGGAGCCGTCTCACCGTGGAGCCGTCTTACCGTGGAGCCGCCTTACCTTGGAGCCGTCTTACCTTGGAGCTGTCTTACCTTGGAGCTGTCTTACCTTGTACCTTGGAGCTGTCTCACCATGGAGCCGTCTAACCATGGAGCCGTCCAACCTTGGAGCCGTCTAACCATGGAGCCGTCTAACCATGGAGCCGTCCAACCTTGGAGCCGTCTAACCTTGGAGCCGTCTAACCATGGAGCCGTCTAACCATGGAGCCGTCTAACCATGGAGCCGTCTAACCTTTGAGCCGTCTAACCATGGAGCCGTCCAACCTTGGAGCCGTCTAACCATGGAGCCGTCTAACCATGGAGCCGTCCAACCTTGGAGCCGTCTAACCTTGGAGCCATCTAACCATGGAGCCGTCCAACCTTGGAGCCGTCTAACCATGGAGCCGTCTAACCTTGGAGCCGTCCAACCTTGGAGCCGTCTAACCATGGAGCCGTCCAACCTTGGAGCCGTCTAACCTTGGAGCCGTCTAACCATGGAGCCGTCCAACCTTGGAGCCGTCTAACCATGGAGCCGTCTAACCATGGAGCCGTCCAACCTTGGAGCCGTCTAACCATGGAGCCGTCCAACCTTGGAGCCGTCTAACCATGGAGCCGTCCAACCTTGGAGCCGTCTAACCTTGGAGCCGTCTAACCATGGAGCCGTCCAACCTTGGAGCCGTCTAACCATGGAGCCGTCCAACCATGGAGCCGTCTAACCTTGGAGCCGTCTAACCATGGAGCCGTCCAACCTTGGAGCCGTCTAACCATGGAGCCGTCTAACCATGGAGCCGTCTAACCTTGGAGCCGTCTAACCTTGGAGCCGTCTAACCATGGAGCCATCTAACCTTGGAGCCGTCTAACCATGGAGCCGTCTAACCTTGGAGCCGTCTAACCATGGAGCCGTCTAACCATGGAGCCGTCTAACCTTGGAGCCGTCCAACCTTGGAGCCGTCTAACCATGGAGCCGTCTAACCTTGGAGCCGTCTAACCATGGAGCCGTCTAACCTTGGAGCCGTCTAACCTTGGAGCCGTCTAACCTTGGAGCCGTCTAACCTTGGAGCCGTCTAACCTTGGAGCCGTCTAACCATGGAGCCGTCTAACCTTGGAGCCGTCTAACCATGGAGCCGTCTAACATTGGAGCCGTCTCACCTTGGAGCCGTCTAACCATGGAGCCGTCTCACCGTGGAGCCATCTTACCGTGGAGCCGCCTTACCTTGGAGCCGTCTTACCTTGGAGCTGTCTTACCTTGGAGCTGTCTTACCTTGTACCTTGGAGCTGTCTCACCTTGGAGCCGTCTAACCATGGAGCCATCTAACCTTGGAGCCGTCTAACCTTGGAGCCGTCTAACCTTGGAGCCGTCTAACCATGGAGCCGTCCAACCTTGGAGCCGTCTAACCATGGAGCCGTCTAACCATGGAGCCGTCCAACCTTGGAGCCGTCTAACCATGGAGCCGTCTAACCATGGAGCCGTCCAACCTTGGAGCCGTCTAACCATGGAGCCGTCTAACCATGGAGCCGTCTAACCTTGGAGCCGTCTAACCATGGAGCCGTCCAACCTTGGAGCCGTCTAACCATGGAGCCGTCTAACCATGGAGCCGTCCAACCTTGGAGCCGTCTAACCATGGAGCCGTCTAACCATGGAGCCGTCCAACCTTGGAGCCGTCTAACCATGGAGCCGTCTAACCATGGAGCCGTCCAACCTTGGAGCCGTCTAACCTTGGAGCCATCTAACCATGGAGCCGTCTAACCATGGAGCCGTCTAACCTTGGAGCTGTCTAACCTTGGAGCCGTCCAACCTTGGAGCCGTCTAACCATGGAGCCGTCTAACCTTGGAGCCGTCTAACCATGGAGCCGTCTAACCTTGGAGCCGTCTAACCTTGGAGCCGTCTAACCTTGGAGCCGTCTAACCTTGGAGCCGTCTAACCTTGGAGCCGTCTAACCATGGAGCCGTCTAACCTTGGAGCCGTCTAACCATGGAGCCGTCTAACCTTGGAGCCATCTAACCATGGAGCCGTCTAACCATGGAGCCGTCTAAACATGGAGCCGTCTAACCTTGGAGCCGTCTAACCATGGAGCCGTCTAACCTTGGAGCCGTCTAACCATGGAGCCGTCTAACCTTGGAGCCGTCTTATCTTGGAGCCGTCTAACCATGTCTAACCATGGAGCCGTCCAACCATGGAGCCGTCTAACCATGGAGCCGTCTAACCATGGAGCCATCTAACCTTGGAGCTGTCTTACCTTGGAGCCGTCTAACCATGGAGCCATCTAACCTTGGAGCTGTCTTACCTTGGAGCCGTCTAACCATGGAGGCATCTAACCTTGGAGCCGTCTAACCATGTCTAACCATGGAGCCGTCCAACCATGGAGCCGTCTAACCTTGGAGCCGTCTAACCATGGAGCCGTCTAACCTTGGAGCCGTCTAACCTTGGAGCCGTCTAACCTTGGAGCCGTCCAACCATGGAGCCGTCTAACCATGGAGCCGTCTAACCATGGAGCCATCTAACCTTGGAGCTGTCTTACCTTGGAGC